ATTATATATTATATTTAAATTCTTATGCAATTCTATACTTATGCATTAGGTTGCTTGGAAACTATTTGCTGATATTGAATAAAATTTATGTAAATTAGATCACATGTTTTGAAATTTCATGCCAATTTTGCAAAAAATTATTAGAAATATAAATATATATAAATATATAAATAAATTGATATAAACTTTTCGTACATTTCAATACATATATACGATAATGAGTTTGTTTTCATTGTAGAAAATGTTAATTTGATATTTAATTTCTTTCTGGTTATTAAAAATTACTATTATTCTTTTCAAACTATAGAAGATCTTTTTAATTTGACACAAGGTATAATTTGAGACGTTCGATGATAAACGAAAGAATTTGATTTCCGTTAAAGTCGGAAACAAGGTGAGAGGAGTATCTTGACTCTAGTTATTCAAATTACCATGAATTGACTCAAGTTTCTGTACGAGAGATCGTAATGCAACACAACCACCAAGACTAAAACGTTTACGATCGTTGGAATTTAATGTCTTGTCCGTGAGAATTATTAATCGGCAAATGGCACTGTTTCTTTTTTTTTCTTATTTTTTTTTACCGGTAAAAGTCGTAAATTGTTTCACGTGAATTCTGGAATCCTCTCGTACGTATTCTATATATATATATATATACACATATACGTTCACACCCACATGTAGGAAGAAAGAAAAAGTAAGTGAAAATTTATATAAACGAGGGTCTACGAACGCTCCTGTGAGTCATGAGGATATTTTCAATGAGTATTCAACGATTGGCTACCGTGAGACGACGTCTCGTTATGTTACAAAAAAAAAAATTATGAACTATTTAACAGCGGCTCTCCACACGCTATATAATGCGATTAAATTATATTCGCAAAATTTGAAGATGACGAAAACAAATTAGAGATAGAAATATGGATCGTTTATTTTGAAAATGGGCGCTGCAAATCAATTTTAAAATTCCAATTAAAAAACGATTAGCATATATTTTAGTCAATTTAAGGATATAAATTAATTGTGTCAAATTTGGCAATGTTTAGTATTAATTTATCGATATGTTATTTGATTTTATAAATAAATTTATTTTATGTTATATTTAAAAATTAATTAACAAAAATTAATTAAATATTAAATCAAATTAAATTAAAATTTATTATTATTTAATTAAATCAAATTTAATTAAAATAATATATATATATATATATATATATATATAAATGGATTTACATAATATAAACGGTCAATATGACAAATGAAATCAATGTCTTTTATTTCTTTTGTTATTTTTTTGCATCAAAAAAGCTCGATGACCTCTTTAACTTTTTTTTTCCTTTGGCTGACGAGAATAACAAGAGAATGTTATTTTAAGAGATCCATCGACCTCGAAGTATCAAAATTTTCTGTCGAACCTTTCTCTCTCGTCTTTGGTAGATCCTCGAAATTTCTCATCGTTGCCCACGCGTTCATCTCACCGAGAACGAATGAACGAACGAATCGTGGAATCAAATGGGAAAAGAATAAATAATAAAACATATAGCACATAACGCGAATCGAGAAAAAGAAAACATGATGGAGAAAACACGAAGAAACGTACAAAAATCTATGTGTATACGTATATCATTGACCTTGAATCTCCCTACATCGACCTTGAAGTGGTAATAGACCATAAATCTTTATCTTTATGAAGTCATTTTTTTTTCGCTTATGAATGAAACGAGAAAACACACGTTTATTTGTTCTCTATCCTTTTCATTTTTTTATTTTATTATTTTGATATCATCGTTTCATGAATTTCTTCGCATCATCGATACATTAACATATTTATGAGTAAAGCTCACGTAGTCTTCAGCTCAAAACTTGCTTCCTATGGGGTATAAGTGGGGAGAAGAGTTTTTAAATACTTTACTTTACTTTACTTTACTTTGCTAAAGTTACGGAAGGCTGGTCACAGGAAATACTACGACACGTTTTATTCTTTTCTTTTCTTTCTTTCTTGGTAATAACCTTGTTGGTTGGTAATCGAAGGATTGTAGAAGAGAATTTGAGGTTACTGAAAATGCTACACGACTACGAAACGTATTACCATCGTTTGCATAACTAAGTGTCACCACAGTGGGACTCTTGTATGTTGTATAAAACAAATCAGCTTGATATTTATTTTTTTATCGAGTATATTCGTTTATGATGACTTTGTCGTACATTTGGTCTTAATTATTGTATCTTTTTTTCTTTTAATTATCTTATTAGTATATTGGCACATTTTGTAAACGTTTCTTGGTGGTGTAGTGAGAATAAGAAAAGAGAATTTATTCGTTTTTATTGGTCATTATCATCTTAAAATGTCCCATAATTTCAAAAGAAAACGCCATTTTGAATTTATTATAGTTCTTTTGATATTTATGATAATAATACGAATTATACGAGATATTATTTTATATTAATGCAAAACAAATGATAAAATTAAGAAAAATCTGATAATAAATTGAAATTATAAATAGTGAATAAAATTTTTTTACGTTTTATTCGACAATTGATTATATTTTCTATTATTTTCGAAAAATTAATTATTTTTTAGTGTCAATAATTATACCAGCAAATTAGTAACAACAATTTTTAACTTCATTTCGTAATATAAATAGTTTCAATATAAAATATATCATTAATTATTAATTATAATTATCGATACATATATGTACTAATACACACACATACGTAAATACAAAAGTAAAATTGTTCTTAAGAAGAATGAAAAATATTTGCCGAAAGGTTTAAGTGTTTTTCGTGTTTTTTTGCAAATAAATAAGGTAGATGTTATAAATTGGTAGAAAACGAGCTAAAATGATGAAAAAAAATTCGTGATTTTATACAAGCTCGATATATCTTTGGATAATTCGCGATGGCTGGGTTGGTTGTTGTTCGATTTTAAGATTGGCAAAATGGGGGAGATGACCGAATCGTTGAGAAAGACGCAAGTATTTTTCTTTTGTTCGTTTTAACCCATAAAAAGTAATTCCAATTTGTTTTCCGCTCGATTATCGCGAGAATCGTTGTCCCGCGAGAAAGATCTGACTCTGATCGTAATTAAAGTTTCTCTTTTTTTCTTTTCCCTTTATTTATTTCTGTTCTTTTATAATTTTTTTTTTTTAGAGAGAATAACGAACATACGATTCTTCCTGAAACGACCGAGCTTGTTCGGTGAGGATAACAAGATCGTACAGTTTTTCGTTCGATTTAAAGTTTCTCTTTTCCCTTCCGAAAACAACCTCTATCTCTCCAATTAATACGCTTTTATTTCCTTTGTACCGAGTATACTCGACATAAATTTCTACTGTCTTCCTTTTAGTCCCATTATTACCAGGGTTACCAGTAAATATGAGATTTTGTTCTTTAATACTCTAGGTTGTTTTGTTTCATTTCGAAGTCACACACCGAAAAGTAAACGAAGTCAAAACAATTCACAAAATAAAACATTTATTTTATCATATTAATAATTTGAACAATATCAAATATTAGATGGACCACAGAAACTAATGTCGCTTTTTAACCTCAAAATTCAAACGAATAAATTTTTCAAACAAGTTTCTATTATTAATCAATAATTAAATTAATTAATTAAATTAATTAATCACGTTATCAACAACCTTTTTCTATCTGGCATGCCAAATTTTTAATATTAATATATTATTAATATAAAAATTTGACCTTCGTAGTAACGACATTTATTTTCGGTCCCCCTAACATATCATAAGATCAAATTTTTCCAATTTTGTTTGTTTTTGACTTCGTTTACAACATTTAAAGAATTGTTTCTATTCAATATAATTTTGTTTCTTGTAATTATGTTTTGTTCTATAAACTTTTCTTCAATAACTAATAAGATTCATTTTAATGATCATTGATTTTAGCTGGAAACATGAGAATAATTTAAATAATCTTTAAAAGTTTCCAATTTATCGTTTGTATCGTATTTACAGATTTAATATTCGTTGATTTATGCTTTAAACTAAATAAAATATATGTTCACGTTTATCTATGGAAAAGACAATCAAATAGATCTTAGATACTAATACTTGCTAATAACACGATACACGACAATGATTCACGATGCAACCTTGCATTTTCATTAATTCTATGCCGATCGCGTTCGTAGAGCGCGAGGGAAGATTAATGAGCGAATCAAAAGGCATCTCGTACACCAACTATAAATTACTTATTCGAACTAATGTAAGTAAAAACATAGTTGTCTTTTGCTAAGCGATATACATAAGTATGTTATTTAAAAAAGATAAATAACGATTCGTGGAATTTATTATTTATTCATTAGAATAATAATCGAGAACGTATTGTGTCCAATTAAGAATCGTTGATTTAAGATTATTATCATTACTTGTTTACAAGTAATTATTAATCATTGATTAGTTAAATAAAATATGTTATAATTTTAATTTAAAGGGAACGTCGTTTGTAAGAAAAAAAAACATAGACAAAAAATGAAACGACATAATTAGAATAAATATATTTAGAAATAAATAAAATCATCTAATTACGTGATAAGTTAAGATATTATAAAATATAATAATATTTTAAGTTAAGTATGATAATAAGATTCAACGTGTTTCTTTGACTAATCATTTAGACGTAATTCAACAATTTATCGTTAACAACCAATAATAAATTAATTAAACAAAAATTTGACTTATTTAACAAAATATCACGAATATTAATTTTGAAATTTAATCGTAACGATTACTTTGAATACATACTTGTATATATTAAATGTAACTCGAGTATTCGAATTTTGAATAAAACTACGAAACTATTATAGTAATGTTTAATTGTTAATTAAAAGATAATTCTTGATCGAACACAAAATCGATTTGAAGGAAAACACAGTGAAACTTTGTGGTGCCACAATGGCGAACTCAGTTCCGGGATCCGGATATAATACGAGAAGCGTGACAAGACCGCTTCGACCTTTTATGGGTCGAACTTACCTTGATGTCCAAATGGGCGATATTTCTTTCGTGGAGGTAGGCAAGTCCTTCTACTAGTTGCCTCACAAAGTGGACGACGTCACCTTCGAGGGGCACCAAATCACCGTCGATCAGAGTCTGCAGGTCGCCACCTGGGGCACTGAAAAGTCACGCCTTTCGTCACGCCTATCTCAACGCTAACTCAAATCCTCCCTCTATCATTATCTCTCTACGAATCGTTAATAATAAAAATTACAAAAAAAATATATATATATAAAGAAACAAAGGAAAAGGAGAAGAGAATAAAAGAAATGAAAAGAAAAAAAAAAACTTGGAACAAAACTCTCACAATTCCATGACCATAATAATCTCCTTCGGTGTCTCGTATACGTCATGCAACCGAACAACCCGCGGCGATTGTGAGCAAAGAGACAACAGGGCGATTTCGTGTCTTAATTCGGCACTGCAATCAGCGTTGAATCTGTTCCTGGATGAATACTTGGCAGCATAAACCGTACCGGTTGAGCGAGATCTGCATCGATATACTCTTGCCCATTGTCCGCTGTAAACAATACAAACGAACAAACAAAATGATTTAAAATAAAATGAAAAGACATACATTAGTTAATTTGTTAATTTAAAAAATTTATTCGAGATCGAAAAGAAGAGATAAGACTGAACGATACTTAAAATAACACACTGTTATTTTTACTTGATTTTTCATCATTGACCAAAAATGTTTAAACAATCGAAAATATAAGTAAAATGCATTACAGTAGTGAAAATACCTTAAATGATTGTTAAATTATTAAAGGAAATGTCTATTGTTATTTAAAAGCACGGAATATATGTTCGGAGTACCGTCCTCTTCGAAATTCACCTTCAGACTAGCACGTTGTCCTGTATATTAAAATTCTTATATTAAGAGGTGTTTACATGACTTTCCGTACATTGCGTATGTGTACAACGGTAATAATATTCCTAATTAATAGAATTTAAGATTAAAACGTTCTGATTTTAGCATTTTTTGCATTCTAATGTAATTATTTTATCGATCCTGCGCAGTGATGATTTCGGGAGTAAAATTTTGCTGTAATACAAGTGGAGTGTGTTAAAATATTAAAATAAATGTTAATTAATAAATAGGAGTGTCTATTGTTGTTTAAAAGCACGGAATTATTGATCGGTGTACCGTCCTTTTTGAAATTCACCTTCAGACTGGCACGTTATCCTCTATGAAAATTCTTATATTAAATGTTGTTTATATGACTTTCCGAATGTCGCGCATATGCATAACAGAAATAATCTATCTAATTAATTGAATTTAAGATTATAATTTTTTGATTTTAGTATTTTCACAGATATGCAATCTTCGGAAAGTCATATAAATAATATTTATAATAAAAGAAGTTTCATACAGGACAACGTGTCAGTCTGAAGGTGAATTTCAAAGATGACGGTACTCCAATCAATAATTCCGTGCTTTTAAATAACAATACACATTTTTTACGATTAATTAACAATTATTTTAATATTCTAATACCCTTTACTTATATTATCGGTATTTTTTACTCCCGAAGTCATCACTGCGCAGGAGCGATAAAATAATTACATTAGAAGGCAAAAAGTGCTATAATCAGAACGTTTTAATCTTAAATTTTATTAATTAGGAATATTATTACCATTGTCTCATGCGTAATGTTCGGAAAGTCATATAAATTGCATTGAATAAAGGAATTTTAACAGATGACAATGTGCCAGTCTGAAAGTGAATTTCCAAAAGGACGGTACACCGACCAATAATTCCGTACTTTTAAACAACAATAGACATTTCTTTCGATTATTTAACAATCATTTAAGGTATATTAACTACTCTAATGCATTTTATTTATATTTTCGATTGTTTAAATATTCCTACTCAGTTATGACTTTGATTTTCAAATGATCATCTTATAAAATATCAGATCGAAATTGTTTAATATTCGTAGTATACTAATACATATGTAATGTTTAAATAAATGTACTGTTATTTAAGCATTACTAAATTATATCCAGCTTATATGATATCTTAATGAAACAATTGAAAACAAATTTTACTTAATTTTCTTAACATTACTTTCCTATTTGTTTAATTCATTTATTATAATATATATATATATTTTTTAAATAAAACTTATTAGATTTTTTATGTATATTAACGTATTTATTTTGAAATTATTTCTATCTTGAACATACTATAGTAATATTTTTTAATCAAAATTTTAATAAGCATAATAGTATACAATTTTAAATGATACTGTGTGAAGTCAAGTTTCGATTCATGACACACACACACACACACACATATACAGCGCGATGATTTCGATGTTCACAAACGAAGACGCGTCTTTCTTTATTGCAAGGTCGACGCCGCGGCGCCTGGCAAGGTTGCTGCCTTCCTAACACGTATTCTTGTATTTTTATTCGCCGTTATGCACAAGAGATTTCATTACGCAAATTCGTGGCATATATATATATATATATATATATAACACAATTTATTGTTTTTTGATACTACAAAGATATTCCATTTAAAAAAATATTGATCTCGTTAACTCACGAATTAAAGGAGCAAGTAATTTCCATTACGATTTACTTTATACGTTCGAGATAAATTTGAGATAACAAAAAGATCGTTGACTATTAACCATAATCACTTTCAATTTTCCTTCAGAACTAAGATACGAATAAATATACGTACATATACGGAATTCTTTTGTGGATAATAAAATATTAAAATGAAAAAACATGTATATATATTATAAAAGGAGAAAGGAAAAAAAAAGAGAGAGAGAGAGATGTGTATGTAATTTCTGGGTGCCCTTTTACCGTGAATTCAAGGTTATATCCCTTCTAAAAGCAATTACGGTGAGTCGCGATATCGATGAAGACACGTGTATAATATATCGTGGCTGGAATCACAATGCGTGTGTCCTATATACGGCATAGCGTTGCATTATTCTCTCTTGAACGAGATCATTAAGGTATACTATGCGATTATTATTAAAGATTTCATGTTCGGTATATGCACGGTATCGTAGAAAATTGGATTTCATCGATCGGCGCTCATTGAGATCACCATTGGTTGAGAACCAGTCAAAGAAGAAAAAAAAAAGAAAAAAATGTTTGAGAACGCGTACGAGAAGTTATGTTGAAATGTTTCGCGACATTAGTTAATAATTTATGGAAAATTTATATATTTATGTCGTTTTACGTATAATTATTTCTAGTTACGTTCTATTTTTTTTTCTTCTTTTTTTTTTTTTATCGTCTTCCTTCCTTTCTCTTTTTAAATCGCGACGTCTGGAAATAAAGTAACAAAGTACTTTTACTTAACATAATTGATCGAATAAACATTAGATCGTGAGTTGCGTATGTTAGAGCGTAAACAGATTACGGAATTTATTAGCAAGTAAATTATATACTTAAATACTGGTTGTAACAAAAGTTGCTTTTACCGAGAACAAATAAAATATATAAAATATGTATATATATTATAATATATTATATATATACTTATATAAATATTATATTAATATAAAAAAAATCTTAATATTGATTTGCCATTAGAATATTAATTAAATATCTGTCCAGCACAAAAATTACAATTTTTCAATTGAATAAAGTACTTTTTGGGACACCCTATATTTAAAATCGAATATAGACGATAAATAACGTTATCCACGATATTAAAAGATATAATAAAATAAAAACAAAAAAAATGTATATTTACCTTTAGTAGGAAAATCGTTTAAGTCGATTTATAGATTTAATACCGATCATGATGAAATCTGGATAGAAATATTTGTCTTTGTTAGAGTTCTTTAGAAAAATCGATGTCATTTGATCACCTTTTATGATACCTTTCCTTTTTAATGTGGTATAAACCGAGTACGTGCCGAATCGATTTCGTAGCAATGATTTTCTAATACATGGAAAGAATCCGTATTAAGAGAAGCGTTAGAAATTGCTACGTTTGCTGTAATTGGCATTAGTTGATCGACGGGTGGTGTGTCGCACTTGGGTGTAAAGTCATTTCCATACCTGTCTAACTTCGATAAGTCTTGCGAATCAATTGGCTAATCGATAAAAAAAAAAATAAAAAGAAGAAAGAAAAAAAAGAACTTCTTTTTATCTTTATTTATTTATTTATTTATATTTGTTTCTATCTCATAAATCTTGAATTTGTCATCGAAGAATGGTTATGGTAAATGTAATCGACAGTTTTATTATAGTTAATTCATAAAGAATGATATAATATACTAATAAGTTAACGAGAAAACAAACTATCCTTTTCCTAATTCGATGAATGGGTTTGTAATCTTTATTATAACATTGGTAAGAACGAAGAGAGAAGAGAATGAAATTACAATGAGTGATATGTTGACCTTTTTTTTTCAAACAATAAATGATATTTTACAACCTTCAATAAAGCTATCTTTGTTATTTCTAATGTAGTATAATATAAACTTATACGTATTTATAATAAATACATTTGAAAGATAAGTGACTAAGTGAATTGGACTTCATTAGGGATGTTAAAGCAAACCGAGATAGTTAGTATTGATATAAGAGTCAGGTAACGAGTTATCAATGTACTCTCTGCCATCACCCATTAAAAGGATCATTAACATATCCATGAATATGAAACGACAGAAGAAGATTCATCTATTATCGGTCGGTTATGCGATTTTGGGGTGTCTCCTTTTATTATTTTTTTTAAATTATTAAAAATATTAATTATAAAATTATTATTTTATTAAAACGTACGTTTTAAATAAAAATCATGGAGATTTGTATAATATTTTCGATATGAAAATAAAATTATTAAATTAATATATATTATTATATTATATATAGGTATATTATTATTAATTTTAATATTATTAATTATAATATATTATTATATTATATTATATATAAGTTATATATTAATATTATATATATTATTAAATATATATTCCCTATATATTTGTACGTGATTTGATACTGGACATATACCGGGTGATTAGCGAGAAAAAGGAAATTCAATTTCCATAACGCATATTTCAGATTCCAGTTTGAATTTAAATGAAATTTTTTTACGAATGGAATATTCTTGCTAATCTTTAATGCCATTGCAAAAATCCTGTTTAAATTTTATTAATACAAATATCATACATAATACATAAGTGTATATATCTATCCTTTTTTTTATTTTTTTTTATTTAAATGATATCCTGAAGATAAATCTAAATAATTATTTTCAAGAAGAAACGTATATATTGATATTATGTTAAAGATTGTTAGAAAAAAATTTATTGTGAAATAAGAGCAATAATGTTTAGATCGTCCAGATAAGATATTTAGTTTTTATCATAGGATTTTTCAGATTTGACGGCGACGTACATATCTCTGATATTTTTTTTTCTTCTTCTTCTTCTTTTCAATTTTCCTAATAAAGAAACTAGACTCGCATTAATGTCAGCATAAATAGTAACGAGTCATCGTTTATTCAATCGATATTGCGTACAAAGCAACTTATCGATTTTCCCGAAGTTAGAATTTATTCGATAAAGAATAATCAAATGAATTTCAACCCTGTGTTTTCCCTTTCTTTTCTATAAATTAATAATTTATCTTTCTTTCTTTCTTCGGATCGTAATTTTGTATAAAAATGTATATCCAATTGAAAAATTGATTAAAAAGACTAATGTAACGCTTTATATTTTCAATTGAATACGTGGGTGTAGTTCCGTTTGGATCGTAAATAATCTCGGTTCGTTTCCATAAGTCATAACATCGATGGGGGACGAGCAACGATTACGAGAAAAGATCGATTAACATAAAATCATATGGCATAAGATCGCGGAACCGGACGGTGTTATTTAGCGTGTTAATACGCACGTTCGCAATAACCATCTACAAACTCTGAACAATTTGAGATCTACGCCAATAATAATAACAATAACAATAATAATAATAATAATAATAATAATAATAGTAACAATTATTAGCCAATTCGCGTGGACTCTTCACAGAGACCTGACGCAATAAATATGATTAATGTACGACGTATGGTGCCGCGTCACGTATATCGTATATCGCGTCCGCAGCTACCGCGCGTAACGTCTCCGTGACAAATTATATATATCATAGTAGAAGTCAATTAATCATTGTCGGAGAGATCACAGTTAACGTTCTTATAAAAATTTTCATAATAAATAATCATTCACAGTATTAATATACAAATTAATTCTATATGATACACGTAACGATTACTCACCGATTGAATTAAATCGTAATCATTTTTAATTGTTTATATATAATAAGTATTAATAATTAAGATGAGTCTTACCTAGCAAAAGGTTTAGAATCAATCTCATAGTGTTCGGTAATAGGTCCGGTTTTGACCACCCTGGCAAGTTGTGTCTCCTGAACGAGAACCAAGCCCTCTTTCACGTGTTTCTCGCTCCACTGAACTCTGCATCTTCCTCTGCACCTCTCCTCACCGTGAACTCTCTCCGGTAGTTCCCCTTTCCTCTTGGAGTTCATGCATTTCGAGGACGATTGGAGATTGCGATGCTGAAACCTCGGCGAAGTTTTTCTCGTAGACGACATTGTTGGCGCTTGGTGACCCGACTGATAGATCATCTTTTATCTTAGGAATTTATCTAACTTCTTTATTTTGTTCTTTTTTGCTAATTTTCTTTTCTTTTTTTAATTTTCTATCTCTTTTATTTCAAACACGTGAACTCTTAGTTTTAATTGTCGTGCCTCAAGGGAGCCACCAAGCAAATTCCTTCTTACGATTATTTCCATTCAATTTAAAACGGCATTCGTTGAACATTTCGAGCAAATCGCGATTCCTTCGAGCATTTATCGCAATCGGCGATTGATCTCTCACCAGGGAATCGTTATTATCGAGCTTCTCGATCGAACCGATTTGTCAATGGTTAAACCAATTTCGTTTGTACGTGTCGATTATTTTCTTCTCTTTCTTTCTTTCTTTTATATTTATTTTTTTGTTCTCGACTATACAGTTCGGATTAATATTTTCCGCAATTTAAATTCAACAGCAATTTATTGTAAAAGTTGTAAAATTCTACGATGGCGAAGGTTAAATCGCTGAAACGTAAAAATCAACTTATATATACATATAACTATTACGTAACTTTGAATGACTTTTGCACGACATTAAACGCATCGTAATTAGGTGTCCTTCGTTATGCTAAACGAGCAATCATCTACAAGAAATCGATCCAACGAAGTTCGATCAACGAAGAATTATCGATTCTCGCGATCTTCTACGGAAATATCGCGAAGGCGTATAGCAGAGGAACCTTTTTTTTCTTCATATTTGAACAAGAAAATCGACAAAATCAATGGTATAGAAAACTAGGTATATTTACTTACGAGATAGTGAAAGTTACCCGGATGGTAAAAGTAATTCGAAAGAGAACAAATTTCTTGGGATAGAGAAAAGATTTTTTAAAAAAATACCTGTTAAAAATAAATACCGATTGATAAATAATTAATAATAATAATAAAACACGTTAAGAAATGTTTGATTGAATAGACACCACTTAGAATGTAAAAAACTATTTATAAATATTATTATAATTATTATTTATATTTAAAAATATATAATTTAATTATATTTAATTATATAAATATTAATAATAATTATATAAATAATATTAATATATATATATAATTATATATTATATTATATTATTTTATATATTATATATAATTAATATTAATATATTTATAAATATTATTATTATTATTATTAATTGACATTATATAGGAACTCGATAATATGGAAATTCAAAAAGGACGGTGAAGGTTTTTTTTAAGACCACCCCCTTACCCTTTGCTAAAGACACCTTTTACTAATCGGACGAAGAAAATAAATAAAGAAAAAAATAGGGTTTTGTAAGAAAGAGGGTAAAAATGAACGCACCTCTCTCGTGATAAGACGGAACCAATCGGAATAAGTATCCTTCCGTGTTTAGCCGAGGAATCGTTACCGAGCTTCTCACATCCTCGGTTTACCGATCGCCACCGCGTTGTCGGATTCGTGCGGGAGATCGCGAGCTTCACGGTCCAGCGCCGAGCCTGAAACTGGCCAGAGAATTGCCGCGAGGCCGCAACCGGTCCGAGGTTGAAGTGCCGAGTTTCTACACGGTACCCTCCTCCGGTACCCCTCTTTTTCTTCTTCTTCTTCTTCTTCTTCCTCCTTCTCTTCCTCCTCCTACTCCCGTTGTTCAAACTCTGCGTCTTTGTTAAACTCGATATATCGTTCGTACGTGTTACTCGTCATCATCAACGTTGTTGGGTTGCTGGGTTGTTGGTTGTTATTGTTGTTGTTGTTATGTTTCGATATTTCTGGACATCGATGATCGAACTTTGCAACTCAATTGCGTAGGTGATGTTTTCTTCCGATCATCATTTTTTATTATCAATTTATTTATATCTCTATAGGTCTGTGTGTGTGAGTGTGTGTATGAACGTGAGTGTGGTTTTCTTTTTTTATATCTGATTATTTTCTATCGTTTAATATTAATCTTTTGTAATATACTTTTTATAATAATTATAATATATAAGGTCATCGCGCGTTTTTCTAATAAATTTATTTACATGTGTGTATGTTTTATCTTTTTAAATTTAAATTTGATTATTATATAAAATGAATCTGATGAAATTTGTGTATGTTTCGTGTAAGTCCATTATTATAATTTTCGAAATATACATTTTGTTTATTTCAAATATACTATTCGTGTTTCCAATACAATTGTGTATTTGTTAACACTTTAATGGCCACACGTCTACTTACTTAGTCAAATGTTGCCAGAATCCAGTAATATTTAAAAAAAATTAATTAAAACAAATTTGATCAAAATTTACGAAATAATACAATATGTCCGACCATACACATAAAACAAAAAACAATAGCAATTAAATAACAAATTGAATATTTTTCTTTTGTGTGATAATTATTTAATCAATCGCCTACATTTAAAATCATGATTCATCACATACATGTTGTGTTAGTGGCCACTAAAGTGTTAAACGATTGTTTAGATATTGTAAAGTAAAATATTTCAAATACTAGAAAATATTCGATTCTAAGAATCTACCTTCGTACTTTAACAACCTCGATAGAAATAATCCAGTTTTATGTTCTTGTTCTATGCAGGAGAGAGAGAGAGAGTATTTACGTTGTCCAGGAAGAGGTCCCATGTAACCGGAGCGACCTTTAACTTCTCTCGTTACGATAATCCTAACTCGTACCGTAATTGAAAATTACCGTATCACTGTACTGGAATCTTCTTCAATTGCGAGAAACGAAAACGAGATTATGTTAAAAACGCTTATCGTTGGAGTTCTTCTTTCCAGCTTCATATTATGTTAAAACAATATTTTTTCAAAAAAATATGCTTTTTATTATTTTGTAATTTTTGAGGATAATTGTAGCTATGGGAAAATAAATGTTGCAACCAATATTCAATATATTCGCATAAGTATAGTGACAAGCAATTAGTGCCTACAATTAGTAACGACGTGTTTGATGTCTACCGTGCCAAGGATAATTGCTCGCCTATTCGTCAATCGATTACTATTTTCAATGACGAATTCAAACGTTCCTACTGTAGCAGACCTTACCTCGAGATTGACAAGAAATTAAACGTTTTGGCCTTTACTTTATCTGACGCATCATTTTTCAGTAATGTTGATTCCATCGAAATTACTTCCGTTTCCTAAAGAATCTTATACTAAACTATATATATATATATATTTTTTTTTTATTCGATGAAGAAGGTAATATTATTCTGTCTCTTTTCAAATCTTGATCCTTTATTATTCGTGACTATAATAGAAGAGATTCTCGTTTGTAAGCAAAAATTTTATTCACCGATAAAACGTGATAATATTATTCATGAAATCTTACAAGAATCTTGAAAAGTATTAATACCAAACGAAATGTGAATTTCAATCAATTTTAAATCTATTTCGTTGTGACGTCACTGTCATTTTTTTTTCTTTTGAAGACAGGACAGTGAACGTAAGAAACGGATACGGGATGATTATTACCTACTTATTACGATGTTAGAAAGTTTAGTCGAAAGTAAATAACATTTCTACGACTCCTACGTGAATCATCTCTTCTATTATACGTATAAATCAATTAAATTAATTTTTCAAATGAAATTATTTAAAATAATATCTAAATACGAACAATGGCAAATCGTATTAAGCGACCGATTAAATTATCGGAGCCTTTTCAATTCAAGTTAGGAAAAAAGAAGTTTCAAAAAAAAAAAAAAGAAAAACTCAAGTTTTAAATTAACTAAATTTAAATTTAATTAAATTTTTTGTTGAACCTTTTTGAAGATTTTTTTTTGTTGAACCTTGTTCTCGAATTTGTCTCGAACCTTAATGAAAAGAAATTTGAAAACTTTGGGACACTACACAATCATTTAATTTGTTTACCAATTAATCCGTCATCTTATACAAAGATAAAGTTAAAACGATGAATTATCTATCAAAATAGTTAGTTTCGTTAGATAAGTATAAAACTGACATCATACATCGTAAGGTAGATTAGTCAGCTAAAATTATATCAATCTTGTTCATAAGATATCTATATGAAATAATTCGAATCTCTAGAGAATTATATCTTCCGTAATTCACACGGAATCGAATATTAAAGTGAAATAAATCTATCCAATATCAATCTATCATTCTCTCGGCTTACATTTACAGAAATGTACGTAAGAACTAACAAACTAACTAACTAACTAAATGACTAACGAAGGACCAACGATCTCACGTAAAACATGCCATCTATAGAAAAATTAACCAAAGATACGACCTCGTTGTTTAAAATGAATTATCTTTCCATCTCATTCTATCCCACTCTCTATCTCTATCTCTCTCGTACTTACTTTTTCTTATAATCGAGGGAAAAAGGGAAACGTCTAAAACGAAAACGTCATAGTCTTCGTTCGATTAATGATTTCTGTTTATAGATATCTACTAGCAGGTGCAATAAATTCAAGTACAGCGTCATTCTGTTGACTTTGATGTTTCTCGTTATTTGCACCGATGTCCTCGGTTGGATACGTTGACATCTTCTCACTGCAATAAAATGCATACGTCTCACTTTCCTTTTATTTTTTTCCCTCCTCCACGTTCGTTTTTTTTTCTTTTTTTTTTTTAAATGAAATGTCACTGACTGGACTGAATCCTGCGTGCGATGAGACGATGACCTTAAAAACGAGAGAATACCGACAAATTGTCCTCGTACTAACAGAATAAAAGCATTATTTTATACTTTATATTTACATTTTCAGGATTTCGTCGAGATAAAGTATAAATAATCGCGGATATATATATATATATATATATGCGAAATTTGATCTTTACAGATGTTTCCTGTGTTACTAGTAGGGTGAACAATATACCGTTAACCTTTTGGGTACACATTTATTTGAAAATTACTTTGAAATATTGTAATTATTTAAATTAATATTAAATATATTATTAAATATTAAAATAATTTAAATTAATATTAGATATAATACTACATATTATAATAATTAATTATAATAATATAAAAACTAGTTATATTATTTTAAATTAAACCAAAATGAACTATTTAAATCCCGTCTCAGTTTCAATGACGTATCAGAACGTCACGTGCGTCTTTGTCCAAACAAATGCATGACGATACGTCAAATGTAGCCAAAGGGTTAATGGAGAATTCATTTAATATTAAATTTGCTTTTTTTTTTACTACTACTACTATTATTATTCAAGATATAAAAGTCTAAACCTTTATTTAAACTACAATTTATATTCAGATGTATAAGAAATACGATATCTTCTTCTTAAACTTGAGAAACTTCCATTTTAATCTTTTTTATCTAAGCAGTTACCGATTAGACACTTATTAGCGACTTTATAAAAGATAAGATCACTTTTGTGTAAGAAGACAGAGAGAAAAACTTAGTCACCCATTCGTTTATAAATAACAAACTCGGTAAGATAAAGTGCAATGAAAAGTATAGCTATTAAATAAAGCTTATTGCTATTAAAAGTACTTCGATCCTTATTTATCCTTATTTTTTGTTCTTCTATATTTTAATACCTGTTTATACCTAGAAATCGTACGAATTCATATACTTACCCAAACACATATTTACTTATATGCATAAGAGAAATGAATAAATTAACGGAAAGATAATTCTGCCGGAATTAATCGTTAAATTGGAGTTTTATTACTTTCCATTATTTACACAAGTACGATGCCGTTTTATGACTTCTTGGTGGTAAGCCACAAAATATGTGCTAACACACGTACAAAAGGAGTATATATGCTTCCATGTATATATATACGTGTATAAATAATTTACGAATAAGGGAGATAAAGGTAGATATGATTTTTCGTTAATGTAATATTTGACGATTATTAATGATTGTAATGGTGGCGGAAAGGGAAAATAAATATACACATATATTACATATAATAATAATATATTTTATAATATATATTATATTTTATAATAATATGTTTAATATATAAATATATTATATTATACTTATAATATAATATTATTATATATTTATATTTATATATTTATATAGCATTTCACTCCAAGGTACAATTCAAATTCACATACTAACCGCGGACTTACGGAAACGAATCCTTGGACCCGTCTAACAATTAGCGGAAGATGCCTTCCCATACAACAAAGCTTCAGTTTCCCATGCTAAATGCATATCTATCTAAGCATACTAAAAAGCCAAAAAATAAAAAAAAATAAAGGACGGTAGCTCCAGTTTAAAAGTTAAATGAACATGATACCATCCTTGGGAATAAGATAGAATCATGGCTCGCGTGGGCAGGGTCGCATCCCTGAAGTAAATTCTTTATTCGTAAATGGTACCCTTTGTGAAAAAAAATTTACCCGCTAACTATTAAACCGCTTCTGAAAAATACATTTTAATGAATATTAATACAATTTTATTTGCAATGTAAGTAATTAGAGCATCTTATATTACCTTCCGGTCCAGGAACGCAATCAAGTTGAAGACAGTCATCTGGAAAACTAAAAACATAAATTCATATTAATATTATTTTCT